CCAGGCAGGGAGACCAGGGAGACCAGGGAGACCAGGGAGACCAGGGAGACCAGGGAGACCAGGGAGACCAGGTCTACCAGGTACAAGTTTTATCATTACAGTACATCTGAACAGCAGATAAACACTTTTACTTCTTGCTCATTATGAAACAAGCACAAAGGAGAAGTTCATGACCAGGGAGCACATGACTTGATGCTGGTCCACACATGGTCCACAGTTAGTGATGCTGTTGGTGGTGAGGTTCAATATTAAAGAACAAAATCAGAAGGGCAGAAACACACTGTGAAAAATGAGAAACACTCTGTGCATGTCCACGTGTGTGTGTGTGTGTGTGGTGCTCCACGACAGACCGACCAGTGAGTGGAGTTTGTATTTCCTCAGTTACAGTCGTACCAACAGAGTGAACACAACACCAAGAGGTTTATAATGTGCATGGTAGCATGAAAACACCAGATGTTTCTGCAAACACTTTACTAAAAAAAAAACAAAACTTTACTATATCAATATTCACATTATATTATATGTAGTTTTTCTTCAAACTCCACATCATGGTGGCGGCTGCAGCATCAGTGTATTGATACACATGGATTGTTGCTCCTACAGAGTCAAACACATTCCTGCCAACACACACACACACACACACACGTACTGTATTTATCAATGAGACGTCACTGTACACACACTCCACGGTTGTTGATTTGAACTGAGTGGAAACCAGAGAACGACTTCATCTGAAGAACAGACACAAAAGTGACCAAATGTCAACGCACACACGGCAACAACTGACTAGAGAGTTGACAACTATTTATATTGTGAGTTGGAGGACTTCAGTTTCTTGACTGTCTTGAATGTTGTGGACGAGGATAAATCCTGAGGACATTTGAATTTGACCTCACAACTGCCTGTGGACAAAAAAACCCACCTGGACTCGTACAATATTCTTAGAATGTAAACGACTTATAATAAATAATTAACCCTTCAGCAAATAGAACAGGAGTGTTTTATAAGCCGTAAGAATTGATTTCACAGGGCAATTGTAGGGGAATTCACATGTAAATATATACAGTATATATGTATATATAAATATATACACTATATACTGTATATATAAATATATACAGTATATACTGTATATATAAATATATACACTATATACTGTATATATAAATATATACAGTATATACTGTATATATAAATATATACACTATATACTGTATATATAAATATATACAGTATATATGTATATATAAATATACACGTATAGTGAGTTGCCTATGACAAACTATGATGAAGGTCGAAGTTCAAAGTCTGACATTATCAACAGGCATCGATTTGTGGCTCAGACTAATGTGAAGCCGTGTTGCACAAGAAGAGGAAACAAATTCAAAACTAAAACTTGGTACCAAAGTTCAGATAAGTCACTTCAACCACGATAAGAGGCCGAACTGGGGTTTTTTTAATGACTCTTCATTCATGTATTTGTATATTTAAAAGTGCTCCGACATATTAGATCAAATGCTGCTCTATGTTATGTGACTGACTGACATTAGCACAGTTAGCTGCGGCTCAGCCCTGGGTCATGACTTTATACCTGTGTTTCAACACCAAAGATGAATTATTATTATTATTATTATTATTATTAATATTTCAACATATCTGTGGTCCGTTAAACCCGCGACCTGTGTGTACATTAACAACCAGAGTTAGCATTTCGACCAGACTAACTCGCTGCTTCTATCTTTGACTTGTACATGACGTGTGAAGGCTGACCGACAGGACTCCTCCACCCAGTCACTGCTCACCGATAAGGCCAACCTTCGACCGTCACACCTTCAACGGACTCCGCTCTACAGCCACAAGTTGACGCGTAAAAAACGAGTAGTGTTCGCTGTCAGGCATCTGCTAAAAGCCGCTACCGGAGTGAACTAGAAGCAAACACCAGAAAATACTTCAGTGTTACAAGAACACGCCTCTTTTTAAAGCTCATACGTGAAGTTTACGAGTTTATTACATTTACGAAAGTCAACAACTAGCGATGGCTGTCATTTTATTGGCTCGCATTAGCCCAGAGTGAGCGACACAGTTCGCCCCACAGCTAACACTTGAACAGTAGTTTCTGGGTAAAGTTTTCACAAGGTTACGAGAAGCCACGACTAACGACGAACAAGTGGAGAAACGGAAGTGGCTGTGACAGCAGAGAACTCCTCCAGACCAGAGGCAGAGGATGTAGTTACCTGTCGGACTGACAACTGGGTGAAATCACTTATAGCTGCTGCTGCTGCTGCTGTTGCTGCTGCTGCTGCTGCTGGGTAAGCCCAGGCAGCTAGCCGTTAGCCTGCTTAGCTGCCAGCCGAGTCTGGCTACACTGTAACAGGACCGTACGGCTCTGCCGAGGACATGTCTCGCTTCAAGGCTGAGTCAACAATATACATTCAAATAAAAGATAAAATGTCAACAATGTTCTAACAAAACACAGCAGAAATAAAACAAACCAAGTGTGTACTGACCCTGTTGAGGCTTGGTTGTACAAGGAGATGGCCGAATTTCCGCTTCCGTTCTCGGGTACAGGAAAGACCGCACCCCCTGTAGCTTTGTTTCCCTGGGCTGGAGCCTCATGAATAATTTACATTTTATTACGGCGAGAATTAAACCGTAATTCAGTATTTTTATCAAGATTTTAAAGTCCTGTTCTAATCCGTCGACTGACATACATTTAAATGTTTAACGATACAAAATAAAATTTGGTTCAAACTCTATTGAAAATAAATCGTGTTTGTTGTAAGTTGAATTCATGTGATTTTATTTATTTGACAATGTAAAATATATATAATTTATAACATCATAATTAACCGTGTTGTTTGTCAGGTGTGGGCGTTCACTGGAGCAACAATGTACCACAATGTACCAGAAGACATTTGAATAAAAGTAACAGCGTTGTCCATGTTTCCTCTTAAATCCACATTCAAATGAACCAACCGTCTGATGGTAAATGGAGGCAGAGTGGGGGTAAAGTCGGGGGTAAAGTCGGGGGTAAATCCTCCTGGGTCTGAAAACGATGAAAAATTCTTGAATGTTTTCAGAACCAACAACTATTTATAGCATAAAACTGTTTCTGTCTAATTGTATTGACATGTATGACTTATCTATATGTGATATACATTCATAGATTCATTATTTATTTTATTCATGTGCAAGAACATCCGTGATAGCGGAAAAACGTTGGGTTAAAATATAAAATATAATTATTTAAATACATTTTCTTTAAGTACATTTTATAGCAACAAAACAACTATATATATATTTTAACATATTTACATATACTGTATACTGTATATTTATACGGTTTAAAACACGGAGGACGCTTTAGCCCACTTTGTCCACACGGTGGCGAAGGCGGTTAGCCGTTAGCCTGCTTAGCTGCCAGCCGAGTCTGGCTACACTGTAACAGGACCGTACGGCTCTGCCGAGGACATGTCTCGCTTCAAGGCTGAGTCAACAATATACATTCAAATAAAAGATAAAATGTCAACAATGTTCTAACAAAACACAGCAGAAATAAAACAAACCAAGTGTGTACTGACCCTGTTGAGGCTTGGTTGTACAAGGAGATGGCCGAATTTCCGCTTCCGTTCTCGGGTACAGGAAAGACCGCACCCCCTGTAGCTTTGTTTCCCTGGGCTGGAGCCTCATGAATAATTTACATTTTATTACGGCGAGAATTAAACCGTAATTCAGTATTTTTATCAAGATTTTAAAGTCCTGTTCTAATCCGTCGACTGACATACATTTAAATGTTTAACGATACAAAATAAAATTTGGTTCAAACTCTATTGAAAATAAATCGTGTTTGTTGTAAGTTGAATTCATGTGATTTTATTTATTTGACAATGTAAAATATATATAATTTATAACATCATAATTAACCGTGTTGTTTGTCAGGTGTGGGCGTTCACTGGAGCAACAATGTACCACAATGTACCACAATGTACCAGAAGACATTTGAATAAAAGTAACAGCGTTGTCCATGTTTCCTCTTAAATCCACATTCAAATGAACCAACCGTCTGATGGTAAATGGAGGGCTGCTGCTGGTAAAGTCGGGGGTAAAGTCGGGGGTAAATCCTCCTGGGTCTGAAAACGATGAAAAATTCTTGAATGTTTTCAGAACCAACAACTATTTATAGCATAAAACTGTTTCTGTCTAATTGTATTGACATGTATGACTTATCTATATGTGATATACATTCATAGATTCATTATTTATTTTATTCATGTGCAAGAACATCCGTGATAGCGGAAAAACGTTGGGTTAAAATATAAAATATAATTATTTAAATACATTTTCTTTAAGTACATTTTATAGCAACAAAACAACTATATATATATTTTAACATATTTACATATACTGTATACTGTATATTTATACGGTTTAAAACACGGAGGACGCTTTAGCCCACTTTGTCCACACGGTGGCGACCTTGCACTAAGTCAAGCACGAGGACAAATCAGCAGCGTTCTTTCCTTGTTGAACCATAAATAAAAGCCAGTAAGCTCTTCAGATCGGAACATCACAGGAACAGCTGGTGCGGTTCGAGCTTTTCATCCTTCATCACTTCATCCTTTTATCTCCGACTTCTCTCCAGGGGGAAACAGACTGGAGACAATAATGCAGCGTGACTCAAGCTGTGGACAACGGACAGATGCACTGCCTGGTTACACTGATCTCCTGAGAGTCAACAACAAAACACTGCTTCATTACCAGCAGCAAAACTATTTCAACAGAAGAACAGAACACCCTCAGTGGCCCGTCAGTCATCACTGGTACGACCAGGTACACCGTCAGTCATCACTGGTACGACCAGGTACACCATCAGATTAACGTGAGCAGCGCTGGTCTGGACCAGAGCTGTCAGAACCAGAGGCCCGGTCACCTGGTTTCTGTTTCCTCTGTGTTCACACGGATTTGAACTGTTCAGCAGTACACCCACTGAGGGCAGTGCTGAGTCCAGAGGTCACTTGTGGGGATGATGGCAGGTCAAAGGTCACTTACAAACACCGTCTGGTACATTTAAAAAAATGTAACAGTTTCTGCAACCGATGGACAAGAGTCTGCGTGTGTGTGTGTGTGTGTGTGTGTGTGTTCATCCATCCCAGACCAGTTCAGACCAGTATCTGTGAGTGAAGTTGTGTTTTGACCTGTGGTCAAAGCAGGGGTCCAGGACCCCGTGGAGCCCACACTAACGTGGACATGTTATTGGTCGTTGACAGCAGGAGCAGCAGCCTGACAACAGACGGTCTGTTGTGACAGCAGGAGGTGTTTGGGTTACGTAACGCACCACCATCCAGTCGGTGGCATTAACAGGTCAGAGGTAGTACCAGGAGAAGTCCAGTGAGGGGCAGCAGTGGGGCCGCGATGGTAACAACAGTGAAGAAAATAAAGTGGAGTTTTGAAACAAAATCAGTCAATGTGTGACTGGAGAGAGGGGTGAGGGGGTGAGGGGGGGTGAG